GGCACACAGTGTGGCGGGCTCAGGGTGGGCCGGGGCAGGCACGCCCCTCGCTCCATCTCACCTGTCGCCCGCTGCTTCGGGAAAGGTACCTGGTAGGAGCCAGGACCCACACGGGCCTCAGTGCTGCCGCCCTCGGCCAATTTGAGCACGCGGGGAGCGCGATCATACATAATGGCGGAGGGCTCGGGCGAGGGGGTGCTGAAAAGGGAACAAAACTAGGCGGCTAGAGGGGGCTGGAGCACCAGGAAGCCGACGAGTCTGAGGAAGTTCGGGCAGAACTGCCATAAGCAGAGGCGTTAGGCTCTGAGTTAGCGCCTCGCCTGCTCATGGGCGTCAGATTTCTGGACCCGTGGTGACTTGACTGGAGAGCGACCGGAAACGACTCCGCCCACCCAGTGCAGGGGTCACCAGCCTACTCCGCAGGCGCCCCTCCCAGAAGGATGAGGCCCCCGCCCCTGAGCTTCCGGCCCAGGCTCCGCCCACTGCTCTCCGCCCCGGAAGCCCGGGGAGGAGGCGGGAACGACTCTTAACAAAATTGGCGCGCTCTTCCCAGAAGAGCCGTCGGAGCATGCGCCCAGCTCCCTAGCTGCCGGCTCGCTCGGCCCAAATCCCCGCGCCTTGAAAGAGAAGGTGGGACCGAGCCTTGACGCTTCTTCTACCGTCGGGACTGCTTTAAGTCTCCGACGCTTTTCACTATGCAGAAGAGCCCTAGAGAACGCGTTAGAACGGGTGAGAGCTAACTTAATCTTGATCTGCTTTCCCGTTAACGTAGAGCGTGTACAAAGAAACTCAGCAGAAACTAGGACAGAAACAAAGCAGTATCGCGAAGCAGAGCCAGACTTGAGCAAGCTCGCCCCTCGCCCCTGCCACTCTGGCTTTCCCACCCAAAGAGAAAAAGCACGTCTGGTTTTACCCCATTGACCATGCAAACTGCTGAGCGAAACCCAGGGAGCAGGGCGGTGACTAGAAGTGGGGAAAAGGGCAAGGAGACGGAAAGCTCATCGCAAGGAGACAGAAACCTGCGTGCAGGTGGCTGAAGTTGCTTCTGTTGTCCAATACCAAGCAACGCTCAGCGAGGGGTGGGAAAGCCGAGTTCGCCCCACTAAGCCAAAGGGTCTCTTACCTTTAAATAAAGGGAACGTAAGTTCTGCAAAGGTCTGAAGGAGTTGAAGTCCAATCCACCTCTGCATATTCGTCTGGCTGTTTTTGCAATCAGCTGTATACTTCTGAACATCCTTAGAGGCTTAGACAGCCTTGTCCCCCTATGAACTACAGTACTTTAATTGGTCCCCACTATGAATTTTTACACTATTTGTACTGTGTAGGACAGGATTTGCTACTCAATTTTGTGCGTCATTTACTATGCCTTAATTGTGCTATATATTAGAATACTCTCAATAGGAGGCTATGTGCTTCTTAAGGATGGGTCCGTTGTACACCCCCCCCCTTCAATAACTAGCTGAATAATTTACTCCCTTAAAAATACACTTCTTGTATGGGGCGGGCCAGCAGCAAGTGGCACAGCAGTAGCAATGCTCTGTGATGTTGGACCTACATGGGAAAAGCCCAAGTTTGTTCTGAGGTCCCCTCGTGCATGCAGGGGGCGCCTGTGCCCATCATCCAGGTTGGCTGAAGCCGGAATGCAAAAGCTTTAAATTTGCTGTTCAAGTCAGAGATTGTCAAGGGACCAGCAGTTGGCAATGGCTATGTCGCTGGACTCCCATGTAGTCTACCACGGTTGGAGTCCTGGACCCCATGGCTTAAACTCATGCGGGGCAGGTGGGTGCATGCCTGAGATCCCAAGAGAAGAATGGAGGAGAAAGGATTGGAACGTGGCACCCTCGCTGGGGGGTGATGTCCCGCTTTCTGTCTCTCTGTCTCTCTCTTTCTGGCAAGCGCATGTGCCCTATAGCAAAAACCTCTTAAAAAAAAAAAAAGACAGATTGTCAAATTGAGTTTTTTAAAAATTTTAAATAGGGACCACCAGGTGGTATAGTGGTTATATCTCCGGACTCCAACATGGGTAACTGTGGTTTGAGTCCCAGACCTGGTTGCCCAGAATCACATGGGTGCCCAAGATCCTGGAGGAGAAGGAATTTCAGCTGGCCATCCCCCTTGGGGAGTGCTTTATCACTTTCCCTCTCACTGTGTGTGTCTCCCTCCCTTCCCCTGGGGAGCCCATGCTCCCTAAGGCAAAAACCTCTAAAAAAAAAAAAAAAAGAAAGAAACAAATCTTAAATACATTCTCTTTACAAGAATTACTAAAACATGTTCAGAAAAATGTAATAGGCCAGGTGAGGTCAAGGAAATGCAAACAGAATTGAAGTAGGTAACTGAGCACTAGGAATTTAAGGTTAAACGTACCAAAGGAGACTAAGAGACATGTCATATAGTGATAAAGGTGACAACTATAAAACATTGGGTACCAAATGACCTAACAGCTGAATACCTAAAAACTATTAAAAATGCAAAGAAAGTTTGATTTAAAAATGCAATTAGAGTGGATACTTCAAGGCACCTCTTTCAGAATTAGTAAATCATATAGACAAAAAAGAAATTAGTGGATGATAAAATCATTAGACTTGAGGGACCGGCAGATGGCATGTTTATGTTGCTGGACTCCCACGTGGTTGACTGCTGTTTGAGTTCCGGACTCAGTGGCTTAAAACTCATGCCAGGCATGTGTATGTGTGTTCCCAAGATGCTGAGAGAAGAACGGAAGAGAAGGGATTGCAGTGTGGCCGTTCTCCCTGGGAATGATTTCTCGCTTTCTGTATCTCTGTCTCTCGCTGTTTGGCGAGAGCACACAAGCAAAACTCTCTAAAAAATAAAAATCATTAGACTTGATATTAAAAATCTTGTATGTGAAAACAATCCATAACAAAAAATTTTTAAAGAATTATTTATTATTATTATTATTTAATTTGCTATGGGACACATGTACCCACTAGAGAGAGACCAAGCGAGACAGAGAAAGTGAAAAAGCAAGCTGTCAGGTCCAGGACTCAAACCATGTGGGGGTTCAGCGACCCCAACCACCACACTACTTGCCAGCCCCTACATTTTAAAACGTAAAATCACACACTGAGAAAGATCTCCTAGAATCCTATTTTAATTTGGATGAGAAAAATTTTGAGAATTTATTAATCATTCTGCCTGAAGCAGCCCATTTCAGCCTCCTGGTCCACCCTGCAGATTTTGCACTCTGCAACATCAGCTCTTACCTAGATTTCTACCCTGCTGGTGGGCCCTACAAAAACTTGCCAGCCCCACAACTGCATGAGCCAATTTTTAAAAGCGTCTCTATTATATTCTGTATTAGTCTGTGCCCTCATAACAAAATGCCTGAGACTGGAAAATTAAGAAGAACAGCAGTATATTTCTCACACTTCTGGGGGCTGCGAAGTTCAAAATCAAGGTATCAAAAGTGAACGTGTCTGGTAAGGGCCTGTCTCTGCTTCCGAGATGGTGCCTTAAACACTGTCCTTACATGGTGGAAGGGCAAAAAGGGAAGAACAATTCCCTTGCATCTCTTCTGTAAAGTCACTAATTCAACTCACGTGTGTCCCACCCTCATGACTTAATCACCCCCTAAAGGCCCCACCCTTTAATACTAGCAGGGTGAAGATTGAGTTTCAACATGAATCTTGAAGAAACATGCAGACCGTAGTACATCCTTTAAGCCATTATCCATTTATCTTTGCATTTCAAAATTCTATGGGCATTAGACCAACATATAGTATTCTTGAGAGACAAGAGAGGGGAGAAATGGGAAGGATTGGGCCTCATGAAAGCCAGTCTCTGCTGCTTCTGCATAAATAAGACAAGAAAAGTTTGATTGCATGAATGAGGAATCCTGAGTGGTGATTTCCTCAGAGGAAATTATATTGGGGCCCTTTTCCACAATTAGTAGGCATCTCTATGGGTCTCAGGAAGAGTAGGGTCTAGAATTCTCCATGCTATGGGAACACTGTCATATTCTCAATGTATTCCTAATTTTTAAACCTGATATCTTAAATAGATTGATTTTTCTATGTGCTGATATGACACTTAGAACTTGGGAACCAGCAGTTAGTGTAATGGCTATGTCGCTGGACTCCCACGTAGTCGACCACAGTTCGCGTCCCGGACCCAGTGGCTTAAAACTCACGCTGGGCGCATGTGCGTGCGTGCCCAAGATCCCAAGAGGAGAATGGAGGAGAAAGGATTGCGGCGTGACCATCCCTCCTGGGGGGTGATTTCTCGCTTTCTGTCTCTATGTCTCTCTCTGTCTGGCGAGCGTACGTACCCTATAGTGAAAACTTCTCAAGAAAAAAAAAAAGAACTTATGTCCTCTTTGGACATTAAATATCCCACTTTGGGAACATTGAGTTTACTAGCAACCCTCATCACATTGCAAGATGTCTGACAAGCTTTAAAAGCTCCATGTTATTTCAATGAATAGTCCAGTGTTTGGCTATGACTGAGCTACCAAAGTGAGTATGAAAATGCATTGAGACTGGCAGGAGGCTTCTTTAGCCACTGAAAAGAGTCATGTTTGAAAAGGACACATTCATATTCTGAAAGAAGGAAGCAAAAGAGTCTTCTTTTAACAGAATGTTAAACTGCTTCTATTTGTCCATTTGATTGTTTTTTTTTTTGGAGAGATTTTCACTGTAGGGCGCGTGCGCTCGCCAGACAGACAGAGAGAGACATAGAGACAGAAAGCGAGAAATCACCCCCCAGGGGGGATGGTCACGCCGCAATCCCTTCTCCTCCACCATTCTCCTCTCGGGATCTTGGGCACGCACGCACACGCGCCCGGCGTGAGTTTTAAGCCACCGGGTCCAGGACACGAACCGCGGTCGACTACGTGGGAGTCCAGCGACATAGCCATTACGCTAACTGCTGGTTCCCTCCATTTGATTGTTTTTGCCCTGTAATATAGGCTGAGCTAGGAACTGGAATCAGTGGGCTAGAAGTTTGCAAAAAGTTTTAAAATTATTTATTACCAGTTTTTAATTTGACCAGCAAGAGACCAAGAGAGAGAAAGTGAGAAAGCAAACTGCCAGGTCCAGGACTTGACCCATGGTCTAGCACCTTAACTGGTTAAACCACACCACCTGCCGGACCCAAATTTCTTAAGCTGTATGTAAATATGTAAAAGTCAGTTCTTCAAAAATCACTTCCCTATCTAGAAATTACATTTCTTTGAGAACACCACCCCAAAAGTTGTGCCAGTTACAGTCTTTTTTTTTTTTACATTTGTTTATTTTATAAATATGTATTATACTGGAAAATATGTGTCAGTTATATTTTTACCAGTATTTTGTGGTGACCTTTCTTCCCCCATTCCTATTAATGATCTCTTTTTATAAATTTTATCAATGAAATCTCTTTTAACAATTTTTATTTTAAGATAAAGATATTACAAAATACTAAATTTATTTAGCCTTTCTCTCTTTAAAGGGAGAGAGCATCACTCACCACTATTTAAGTGTAAATTACACAGAGTGACTTCCTCCCAAAGAGCGCAGTATTGAAACAGAAAAGTAACCTTACAAGTGGAAAAAGCTGGCAAGCTACCACAGTTAGATTAACAGCAACAGTCATAAGTCAGTGTCAGTAGCATGTACCTTCCATATGAGGTGATGCATTCTCCTGTGGTCTTCCTTTCAACAATCCATAACCAGAGTCTAGTCATGAAGAAAATATTAGACACATGCCAATTTAGAGGCATTTTGCACACT